TGTTTCAGTTTTTAAAGCGACTTCAAGAACATCCCAATCAAGACCCCCATCATCTGCAAGCTGAAACAAGGCATACATAAGAACTTGCAACATAGGGTTTAGGGTTTAGGGTTAAAGAACAGATGAGAAGAAACTTATTGTAACTTCTCGATAACTTATTCAAAAATATCTTAATAAACCTAATCCATTTCCGGCTCTGATTACAATGACTTCTTGTAGTGTATCATAAGGAGCACCAGCAACTGCCAAAAGCTAATAAAAATTAATGAATAAATTATATGATTTCTGAATGAGTAGATTAAGTACCTCATCACCAAGCCTTAAGAAAGCAAACAAGGCACTGAGAAGAACTAAACTAAAGTGTGTTAAGTAAATTGAGAACCTAATAAAAATGGTAGGAAGAACAGATGAATGATTAAAAATGGTAAACCTATGAACGAACAATTGTTGATTCAGCACAAAAAAATTCTACAAAAGCTTGGTCTAGGGCTTCTCTGCCACCTGCTTCCTCATGGCCATAGCCAGTGCAACCTACTTCCTCCGGCCCTTGCGTTCTAAAAAGCTTTAAAAACTCTAGAGGTATTATATGCCACAAGATTATCCACTTCCCTGAACTCTGGATACAAAGTATTAACTGCACTTTCAACCTCAATTGAGAAACATACAAAGAAAATTGTGGAGTTTTGTCATAATACAATGTTATACTTCATTCTGAACAAATGCATGTTGTTTATAACCTGATCTCCAACAAATTTCACCTGATTTATCTCGTTCCTTTTTCTATAATACCAATCTGGATGCAATTTGGTAAATATTTGGTCAAAAAAATGAGTTTCAAATCTGATAACTAATTCATTTATAGCCATTTCTATTGATTTCCAACATGAAATCATAAATTATGCTTCAACAAAAGTATCGAATTTGACATGAGAGTGTGGGCAGTTTCAAGAAGAGCGGAGTAGAAGCAACAACACAATAGATAACATTAGTTGTCGAGGGATAATCGAGTTCAATTAAAAAGGTTATAAAAATCATAATATATGAAGACAAATCTCTGCAACAAATATAGAAGCAGATTGTTGACGGTGATTGACCATGGAAATTTGAAACCCTGACTGTAATGAACCTGTTGTTCTACTTGAGTTGGAAATCACTCTATAATTGGAGGTGGACGTGGCGAAGGATAAGATCGTCGCCATTGAAATCACTCTAAACTTTGCAGAGAGCACTCCTTTGTAAAAGACTAGATAGTGGTCCCTGTGATTTTGTTATAAGATAAATAGTTTGTGCGTTCATTTTAAGAATTATAAAGCGACGTACTTACACGACACACGTTTTATAAGCGGCACTCTAGGTGTTTCTATTTTTTTGGTTCTGACACTAATTTTAGGTCACACAAAAAAAAGTGTCCTATATCCTTAAAAAAAAATTTTTTTTTGGGGGGGGGGGGGTGTGACATTATTTTTAGGGCACACACTTTTGCATATCATAAATCATTGTGTGTGTTATGGTTTGCATGTCATTAAAGGTCTATATTCTAGTAGTGATTATTATGGATAAAGTTGAAACCCTTTCATACTGAAACCAAGGCATGGCCATGGAAGGCCCAAGACATTATGGTAGGACTCATCACAATTGTTTCGTCGTTTGGCAGCCATGTTGTGGTGACCTGTTGAGTTGACTTTGTTCGTTGACTTTTTAACTAGTTTGACTTTTGGTCAAACTTTGGTAGAATTTAGTATTTAGATAAGGTTTGATCTTGGTTTGGCATTAGATAGATCTGGGTAGTTGTGTTGTTGTGGAGGTGGCTGTTAAGCTGATGTTAAGTAGTTTAGGTGAGTCTTCTCACTATACTATGTAGGATGCTAGCTATCTTTGTGACTCTTGCATGGAAGACCAGGGTTTGGCCCATGGAATTTGTATGAAAAAATAGGGTTTGGCCCCTAACATTTGTATGGAAGACCTGGATTTGGGCCCTGGAAATGGTATTGAAAAACAAGATTTGGCAACTAGCACTTGTATAAGTAAAGACCATAATTTGGCCTATGGTAGGAAATGATTATAAGCTTATGATTTGGCCTATAGCATTCACATGGGTTTGATATAGATCTGTTATGTTATGTATGGTATGTTGTATGTTAGGAAACTCACTAAGATTTGTGCTTACAGTTTTATGTTCAAGTTGTTGTAGGTTTTCTTATATTAAAAGAAGGGTGTGGCGCGATTTTATCATATCCATTGGAGATTTTCATGCATAATAACTTATGACGATACTCTGATAAAGTTTTTGAATCAAATGGTTTTATCTAGATCTTTGAAGTTGTAATTTAAACAAATGCTTTTATTTTCAAAAAAAATGCCAAAATTTGGGATGGTACAAGTTGGTATTAAAACCTTGGTTTAATGGATTTGGGCACACTTCCCAATGTGTCTGAACTCAAACTGAGAAATAATAAATTATCTTAAAATAATACTATTTTCTAAAAAGGTTTTTATAAACAAAGCGGTGCGATACATGGAATCAGATAGGGATCAAGTAAGTGATTCCCAAAATACCATACATGTTGATATATTATATCACTACTAGAAAAAAGACCTTTAATGACGCGCAAACAATGACACGCGCTGATAGACGATACGCATTTGTGCGTGCCCTAAAAAATAATGTCAGTTTTGAAAAATATGAAGGATAGAGGGCACCGCATTTGTGCGTGCCCTAAAATTAGTGTCAGAAAAGAAAAAAAAGAAAATGCGGAGGGCATCTTTCATAAAACGTGTGTCATCTAAGAGTGTTGCTTTATAATTTTTTAATGAAACACGCGTTTTAAGCGGGATTTCACCCGCCTATATTGGATCCCAAGAATTAACCCCCCCCCCCCCCGCCTCTTCCGATTAGCAAGAAAAAGCCCTAGGGCATTGGTCTTCATAGCAGCATCGCACCACCACCCAACCTCCGATCTCGCACCGCCAACTATCTCCGACAATCTTCTCCAACCATTTGGGAGAAGTTGTTTCCAAACGTTTCAACATTTCATTACGTTTGACCAGCTTCTAAACCAATTTTCCCTTCCATCTTACGAAGACATCCTATTTTTCTTCTTGAGCAATTCCCCCCTTCTCCTCTAATTACTTTCTCGGCTTCTCCCCTGACTTACAACAAGAAAACCCTAGTTCTTTACTTTAACTCGTTTCGCAAGATCAAGCGCTTACAACCATCATCTATGAAAGTACGTCTGTCTTCTTCCTCTTACAATCGCTAAGCCCTAACACCGAAAATTGAAAGTCAATTGACCCTCCGTTCGAAGAAAAAGGTAAGAATTTTCCTTTATTTATTCCATTCTGTTACTTTGACCTCATATTCTTCTGTTCTTCGTCTTTTTTCTTCCAAATTATCAACTCTAGCCCTATACTGTGTTTTCTTTAAATGGAGAACTATTCAATTTAGGGCTTGATTGCAATTTTCTCCACGAAGCCTTTCTTCAGTAGTAAGCTTTTTCTTCTTTTTCTGAAGGACCAATGCCCTTCTTTAGTGATTTCAAGATCCATGTAAGTATCAATGTTGAATTCATCTTTTTCCGATTGCTTTTCCATCTCAGAATGCAAATAGGTCTGGAACTTTATAGCATCTGTGATTTTAAGGGATGAACTTTCTTTTAAAGACCTTGCAAATTCCTTCTCACTTTTTGATTTTCCACTTAGAACTAAGACAACAGGTCGTTGGGACTCCATGTTTGCTATAAAAAATCATGATCCAGTTAGTATACACATATCATAAACACTGGATTCTACAATCTTAGATGATAGTGATACTTAAATTCTAATACTTAAATTGGTGTGTTTGAGAATTTGTAGGTCCCACATGAAGGAACAATGTGTGATCTGTTAAGGTCGGATCCAGATGATAGATGCGGGTAGGGGTTCTCTCCACATGGGGCTGGGTACACATTCGGACAAGACATCGCGTCTCACTTCAACTATACAAATGGGCTTACTCTCATCTCCAGAGCTCACCAGCTTTTCATGGAGGGTTTCAACTGGTGTCATGTATATTTACTTAATTAGCCCTCCATCCCTCTATCCCTCTTTAATGATAATTATTAATAATTTTCTGATTGATATTAGGACAAGAATGTGGTGACAGTGTTCAGTGCACCAAACTACTATATGACAGTGTTAATATCAGTTTCCCTGTTCTTTTTTATACTTGATGCACCTTTGATGTATCAAGTTGCCTATGTTTTCCTTGTCATATCTGATTTTTGGAAGAGTATGAAACGAGGAATGGGCATGGTTATGTTCTTTATGCACAATGCTTCTTACTTCAAAAACAGATTTGGATTAGTATGACCTCATTGGCAAGCTGCGTTCTATTAAGCATTATCTTCTTCCGGATCAGGTTAAATTTTGATTGTTGTGTTTTTGTAGTTTAAATTTTTTGAAAACACCAGTGGTGGTAGCGATGATGGTAGTGGCACTTTCTTTTTGTTATTTTTTTTTTCAGAAAGATTACTTTAGCCATGACATGTGGAGTTCTTCGAATATAGATGTGGACCCAAATCTAGGTAAAACGTATTTTGTATAACTGGAAAGTTTTTTCTTTACAGATTAATCATCATCTAAAAATGAAAAAAAAATGAAAATTATAAGAAAAAGAATTATATCAATATTATTTATCTTCTATCTTCTATATTATGTAAAAAATGAAAAAAAGTGTAATTCATATTTAATTACATGTACTTTATAGCTTTTGCTATTGTTTGGGCAAAACTTGAGCATAAAGGATTTCATTCCAACTATCAAGAACACCAGCTAAACACCAATAACCAATGGAATCATGGAATGGAAAAAGGAAGGAATGAAATAAAATGAGTTTTATATATTTTATGTAAATACAATTACTTAATTGTGTACATAATTTTAATTAAAATTAACGAACCATTACATTACTTTCCAGATTCCATCATATACGAGACACCGCCTAAATGAGGTCTTATGTTCAAATGTTTGTGGACATTGTGGTCTACTTTGTTGGCACTGCTGTAGGGGTGGATAGCAATCTCCATGAAGAAGCTGACTTAGTTGTTGAACATGGAAAACCGGTAAATGACCATAACACCCCTGATCTAAATTTTCCGGACACTGTTGTCCCTGGCATGCCTGAATTTGATCGGAAACTTGGTGCACCTGCAAAAAGGTTCAGCCCACCATCAGCAGGGGATTGTTCGACCTTTTCTCATATACCTTTTAATTCGGTTATGGTGCGTGTTTGTTTCGTTGTCAATTTCATTCCTCCTTTTTATTGAAAGACCGAAATACCCTTATTATTACTTTAGATAAAAAAATTTGTTAACAAATCCCATTTTGTTTTATCAGGATGGCTCCGTTGGTGACCTTGCAGAAGAAGGTGTATATGTCAATACTAAGAAGAGAGCTTCCTAAGCTTCTAGCATTGTCTTCTGGAACTTGTAGTCATCAATCCTTGGAGAATATTGTGAGCCAACATCTCTCCTTCTATGCTTACTATCATGAACATTTAGCAGGTAAACATTTTGTCATGGCTTGTTAGTTTTTTTTTACCAAAATTAGACAAGGGTAAATTAGTCATTTTTCATAAATTTGATGACTGGACAAAAAGTGCTATAAATCATTGCATTAGGGACTTAAAATGAAAAAAAGATTCCTTTTGGATCGTATTCAAAGAACACAATATAGTACAGGAACCAAAAATATAAATTACTTGAGAAGTAGTATTTGATTGTTTGTGTTAATGCAGGTTACACAACTATGTAAAGCAGGTAGTCATCCTCACCTCTTTGCTGGTATAGAGCCAGAACCATATGAAGAGGGTGAACACTTGGTTCAGGTATAAAAAATATATCATCTCTATTTATTTATAAAATCATACAAAATGTTAGTAATAAATTTGAAACCTTTGTGATTTCTTTCAGGCAAGTGGAAAACTGGTAGTCTTAGACCAGCTACTTCAGAAGCTACATACGTCTGGACACCGTGTTCTTCTGTTTGCACAGATGACACATACACTTGATGTCTTACAGGTTTACTTCATTATCTTTTCATAAAAAAACTGCCAGCTGTCAGCTGTGCTTATGTATATCCATCTGTTATTATTTAAACTTAAACTTTTTTGGAAAATTTTGAAATACAAGACTATATGGAGTTGAGAAAATACCCTTATGAGCGGCTTGATAGATCCATCAGAGCTGAAGAGCGGTTTGCTGCAATACGGAGTTTTAGTCGAAAGTCCGGAATTGGAAATTCCAATTCCGAAGCTGATTCCGACTTTGCATTTGTCTTCATGATTTCCAGCAGAGCAGGGGGTGTTGGGCTGAATCTTGTAGCTGCTAATACTGTGAGCTTTGCAATACTAACATCTATGGAGCAGGGTGTTTAATTATGATCTTTGCAATATGGAGTTTTTCTAATTTTCACAAAATCAATTAAAAATATTTTAAGCTGTTAATTAAGGACATCAAAATATTATGTCTAAGTGATGACCATACAAGGGCCCTGGGCAAATTTTTTTGGAACTTGAAGATATTATTACCAAAAAAAGCATAATGTGATTAGCTTGCAATGTATTGGAAAAAGTGATTGCATGTGCATGGCTTTGAGACAATTCCTTATTTGGGTATCACGTCTCCCACTTAGATTGCAAAAATTTCTGGAACTTGGTTGTTGTTGTACCCATAAGCCACGAAGGTATATGAATTTTATTTCCAATTACTCAATGACGACTTGTTGTGTTTCGAATTAGATCTCACTGTTATTACAATATCACCCATTTGATGATACAGGTGACAAGGGAACGAGCATTGAGAAATTGGGTCTTTGAGGAAACTGCTGGAAACATTCATAGGGAGTTTGGATCTGGCTATCCTGGAGGTGAAATAACTATTGCTGCTTTTTATTATTAAAGTAGTTCAACAGCCATGGAATGTGATCATACAAATTTTCCTACTGTATCTATGTGATATTGTGATTATTTCATGAATTTACCTGTCCAAGTGTAAAACGGTTGGGGTTTTGCTTCATTTTGTGTTTTCTAAGTAGATTTTTACACTATTGTTGGATGAAAATACCCTTGCTGTTTGTTTCCTCTATTCTTTATTTTTAAGATGTTTTTGGACAAACAATTTATTGTGTTTTATAAGCAGATTTCAAGAATATAAAACAATTTAGGTAATCAGAACTTATGATCTTCATTTGTCTCCTATGTGTTTATAATTTTGTCTAGAACTTAAACTTTTTCATAAGTTCTGATTACCTAAATTGTTTTATATTCTTGAAGATGTTTTTGGACAAACAATTTAAGATGTTTTTGGACAAAATTATTTGTTTGTTGTTTGTTTCTTTTTGGACAGTCATATATAGACTGATGTGGTTGGTTGATTTGTTATAAAAAAGCTTAAATTGTTATATATAGACTGATGTTAAATTGTTTGTTTTTATTATATATAGACAGATACTAAGTTGTTTGTTTGTATGTTTGTTTATTATATAACAATCTAGAAAGATACTAACTGATGTCATATATAGACAGATACTTAGTATCTGTTTCATTTTGACTTAATGGACTTAATGACTCAATCAAAATCCTCTTACAATCTAGAAAAGGAACAAGCTTTATCAAGATAGACATCATCATTTACGTATGTTAAGGGGAAAAAAGGAGCAAGGGCATACTTAGTTTTTAGTTTTGACCTTGTTTATCTTAATAAATTACAGGTGGTTCCATTGTTAATGAAAGCTATCCTCTTACAAACTTATTCAGGTAACAATATTGTTCATAGCTGGGCTGTTAATGTTCCTGTTTGTTTTCATTTATGCAGGTAACAATCTTGTTGAAAGGACTTATGAATCAGATATTAATGGTAACAAGTTTAACACTCGAGTCCATACGATTAGATGTTAATGGTAACAAGTTTAACACATGTGTCTTTGTTATACATACAAATTAAATGCACTGGATTGTATTTTTTGTATATGGTATTTTATTTTATATTATGCAATGGATTGTATTTTTTATATATGATATTTTATTTCTATTATGAGAGATTAAATGCAAATTTAATTTATAAATTAATAAATATATAAATATATTTTTTTTAAAAAAAATTAAAATTACGATACGCAAAAATGTGTGTCGTCTTCCTTTATGACATGGCCTTCCTTGATACGCAATGCGTGTCGTAAATGCGCATCGTCTCTCTTTATGACAGGGCCTTCCTTGACGCGCATTTGCGCGTCGTCTGAGCGTTTTACGACGCGCAATGAGCGTCGTAAAAGGCCTTTTTTCTAGTAGTGTATGTATTATAGTATGATATGTATGCTAGAAGTTAGAATATGGATCTGATCAGGGTTGCATGCTTGAATAATGTCTTCTTAGGAGAGATGTCATTTATGCCTGATATGTGAACTGGTAGAGATGCATTATAACGAGTAGACTAAGGATCTTAAGAAATTTAGTGTGAGGATTACCCAATCTTTATGACGCCTTATTCCCATTCAGTTTCACTGCTCGAATGATGCTTGATGTGTGCTATGTGAGGCCTATATTTATGCTAATTAACTATTAAGAAAATACATTAGGTTGCATGCCACAAAGATTAAATAATTTTAGATTTCTTCATTTAGCTCTACTACGCAGTTCTTGTTTGAGTCCAACCGATGTAGGGAAGGATTCAGTCGAAATATTTGTTTTAATCTTTGTTGCATGTAATTGTATCCATAAGATAATGAATTGACATTGGTAGAAGTTCCCTTTGTGGTTGAGAGCAGGGTGAGGTAGGGTTCCTAGTAGATTAGGAACAGTGTTAGAACATGCTTATATGGGATGTGGAATCCTAGGAGAGCCTAGGAAGTACCTTAGTACACTGTTTAGCATAAGGATCTATGAGAATGGTAATAGGGAAGCGACTTAAAGAATCCGAGATGATTCTTGTGGTAAGTACAAATAGGTGTGGAAGGTAGTATTAGGCTCGTACTATTGGAAACATATAATCTGTACTTAAATCGAGGGAAATCATGGGTATTCTAAGGAGCTAGTTGAGGTTAAATAGCATGGTTTGGCACCATGATTCGTTGCAGTGTTTATGTGTTTATCGGTTTTTCAGTTATGGTTGTCCATGATGAAGATGAGTCTGGTATTCGTTCGGGCCTTAGTGGTCATGGTAGTTTGGATCTGAAGGGTACAAATTTGTAAGAGTCGGTTGATTTAAGGTGTCGAAGACCTTATTCAAGGCAGTTCCAGTCTGAGTCATAAACTCGTGTAGGAAGCGCATGTGGTAATCGACTCGAGGATTGCAGCCTTAGGATGGGTGGTCGGTCAATGGATAGGGATGTTGTTCTCTACGATGGGGTTATATTCTTTCATCCTCCCATGTTTGCAGGGAGAAGAGATCGGATGTGTGTCAATCGATACATATAAGAAAGGGATTGCATCAGTTTCTACTGCAAGGGAGTATCGTTCGACTCGTGATGAATCCTTTATGTCTTTTAGCAAGGAATGTTTGAGACTAGTTTGTTCTTTAGGTTCATTGGTCTAGGTGAAGACCATGTCATGATTTGGAGAGGATACTTCTATTCATATGGTGATTTTGATAGAGCTATTATTTGAGCATATATAAGGGATTTTTGAAGTTTTAGAGGAGGATATGGTTGTGGATAAATTCTTCTAATCCAAGTTTTGGTTGCGCGAAGTTCAGTTTGTAAGGTGCCTCGTCAATCCAATGTTATTATGATCGATTTCGCTAATATTGAGGAGATGGTGTTGGGGAGAGTTTCTGAGGTTCAAGGTTTCTTTATGATTATTTTTTCATTATCCAAAGGATCGTCATATGCTATTATACATTCTGAGAGTTAAGGTTGGTATATATCTATTTGATCCAGTTAGAGGCTCTAATGTAGTAGACTTCAGTCGATGATGGTTTGAGCCTAAGTGGGGTAGAACTGGGTATTATGCTTAGAGGATCATCAGCCAGTTTAATTTTATGGTTTCGGCTCAATGGGTCCGAACAATCTGCATTGCATGTATGTGTTTATTGCAGCATAAAAGAAGGAAGGTGGGCTACCATCAAAGTGCTAAGAGTTGGGAAGTTTCTCATCGTTTTCTCAAGGATTCATTGAAATCCTTCATCGTTACGAATTAATTATGGTTTGATCAGACCGCAAGTGCAGAGTTAGTTACCACCAGGTTCGTGCCTTCAGGTATGTGTGTGTGCTCCTCACATCGGAATCTGTTAGAAAAAAGACCTTGTTAGGGGCCAATAGTCCCTTTCGGGGACATTGAAGATTAGGTTAAGAGGCACTGGATATACTTAGGTTGAGTATCAGTTGTTGAAGGATTGTTTAATTCATTGTATAGACCGTTATCTGTAGTAAGGGGAGGAGCGGTTGTTAATTGGTAACAAGGATCAAAGTTGGGTATGTATATTTTTCGCATGGGATTTTTTCAATAGTGGGTTGAACCATTGGATTAATTTCCAATCCATTTTCGATAGTTGGTCATTTCCTTCATCGTCGTCAGTTGAAATTGTTCGAAGTTTTTGAGTTATATCAGTTGGAAGTGTTATAGATGCCTCAATATTTTGTCAAGTTTGGTGTTGTGTATATCTTGTCTCTTGTGTATGTGTACCCTCAATTGATAGTTGTGGTTGTTAAGGACCAAGTGGTGTGGTGTGTAGATTGGCCTGAATTTTGTATGGACATGAAGTATCAGGGCATAACTAATTCTAAGTAGGGGAGAGTCACTCCTTTAGGATGCAATATCGTATAATTAAGAGTTGTCTCGAGGTTTATATCTAGGGTTACATGGAAGCAGATTTAGGTTGTTGTCAAGGATGAAACTTATGCAAGGAAATATTGTCCAGTAGTAGGTAGTAACCAAGGAAACAGATGTTGATAATTAAAGGTTGTCAAGTCTATAGAATTGAAGCATTGGTAGCGGCGCTATATTGAGTTAGTGTCTAGGATCAAGTCGAGAGTTGTGTGAGGGTGTCTCTACTTTTTCTTGTCTAATTAAGGCTTTGGGGCTTGAATCACGACCTAAATGTCTGATGAG